CGGGCTTCTGCTTGTGCCAGTCCTCCTGCCTGGAGACACTGCTCCACAGCCCTGGCTACTGACCACCTAACAGCCCCCTTGACCAGTCATGGAGAATGCCTCGCCTTTCTTTCACAAAACCTTTGCCTATTTTCCTTAGTAGGAGTGAATTTTCCTTCCTTTCAAATCTTCAGGTGATCTGTTTATACTCTCACTTACTGTCTTCTGTTTGAGTGTGTACTTCATACTTTTCCGCTGTGAGTCTCTGCACTAGGCGATTCCTTCCAAAGGAAGAGCCCTGTTGGACGCTTCCTTCCTCACATGAATCAGCTCCAAAGACCCTCATGACACTTTTTTCTCAATAAATAATGATGGTTTTTGTCTCCACCAGTCCTAAGAAGGGCTTCTACTTTGGTTGGAAATTGATAATACAAATAAATGTGATTTAAGAAATGGCTTGGTGCCCTGTTTTCTAAGCAACCATGCTCAGCGAAAAAGGAATCCAGTGCCACAATCATACTCTGTATTCCCTTCTGTTTAATGTAGACTCACATTGGAGACTTTATAAAGTTCTCCTTTATTAACTCTAGCCTTTCCCAAATTTATTGGATCACATAACACCCATTTCATTGTTTTCTTCTTAAGTCTTCAAAATTTTACCGGAGAGTAACCGGACAAATATTGACTTAGGGTTTCTATCACTTTACTGTCATTAATACTTTCATTCAACGAGGATCAATATGTAAATAAAGAACTAGACGGCAGGGCCAGTGTGGTGGAAATGTGGATCTCTGGGACATCTCTACCCTTCCTGCACAGGTAATCATTGGCTTCACTCACAGAAAATTTTTATAAAAGTATCATTTGCTCTTGGATTTGGACCCAGAATTATTGTCTTTTGAACCATGAGAATTGTAAGTGTAGAATTAAATATGGTTCACTAGGCAAAACTGTCTACATATTAATTNCTTTATTATAAAAATTATTTTTGTTCCATGCAATCAGTTTGTCTCAAACATTTAAAGAAGGGTTTTTCTTTCCCTCCCTCCCTCCCTCCCTCCCTCCCTTTTCCTTCTCTCTAAATTGTACCAATAACCAACTGAAATACCTGAAAGTATTTTCAGCTGAAAAGCCTGTACAATGTCCAGATGAGCAGTTGGGATTCAGCAAATTAACTGAGAGAATTTCAAAATTAGCTGGAAAGTTAAGATTACAGAGAAAGCCTGTGATGAGCATATAAATCCTTGTGCACCTATTATAAAACAGTTTTAAAACTGTTGAACAAGGGAGGCAATCAGGGTAATTGAGTGCACAGAATTTGGAGTCCTGGTGGCGTTATTACATTCAGTAAATTGTGTTCTTGGGCAAGTTACTGAAATTTTCTGAGCCTCAGGTTGCTCAGTTATAATGTGGAGACTTTGGGTATCTGACAAGGTTGCTGTGAAGTTTAATAGGGATAGTGGTTAACAGAATGTTTAGCATATAATAAGCACTTTAAAAAGGTTCACTGTTATTTTAAGAGAGTAAGAACATGGATTTTCATTTCAGGTGTCTCTGATATAAAGCAAACTGAAAAAAAATTAAAATCACATTAGCCATCTATAGCCAAAAGGCAAACTACATTTCCCAGAATCCCCTTCTTTGTATGATTCTGGATTAGAATTGGCCAAAAGAGGAACTTGCATTACATTTGAAAGACAAAAATGGAAGCAGCACCCATTAATCTGGGTCTTTTTGTAATCAGATGCAGTGACAGACAGAGGCATAGGTACTTGGCAGTTTCCACGTGGCCTTTGCTCTCTTGAGCTCCACGCCCATTTCTTCTTTCAACAGTCAGACCTGTTGACTAACAGCAAACTTAGACCCACTGCCAGATATTAGGCTGTGGGCCTACAAAGGAGGAAAGTACACAGAGGCAATGGCATCCCATAGACATCTTTATAGATTAAACTTTCAGAGTCACACTTACCCGGCTGTGCCTGCTCAGCTCGATCGGTGACTCCTGATTCTCCAACTCTGCTATGGACCTTCCCCAGCTCCACCTGATGTGTGAATTCAAATCTGTTATCCCGTAACACTCCAACACTGTTCGGCTGGCTGAACCGGGACAATTACTGGTACAAAAAATAAATGTTTCCAAGGAAGAGAATTTAGGAAATGAAATCTGGAATTTGTTCTCTGCTCTGACTAGCCTCAATGGCATTAGTGACCCTGTTTCCAGTAGCAGTGGGACCCTGGGCATCCGTGGCACACAGTGCCAAAAGGCTCCCTTAAATTCTCACCTCTAGTCATCTGGAGTGAAGTGCCCGTAGAAAGTAAGGTTCTGTGTTACCAAGTACCTGCTGCATTAGAACTTTTTCATAGAAACAAAGGGAATAATGCCTGGGGGGTTGATTTATAGGCTGGAGAACTTAAAGAAAGAGAGTAATAAGCCTGAGGTTTTAAAGTCACAGCTCCAGGTCTAGGCTGGGGCCCAGAAGGCTTATATGACTATCTTGAAATTAAACCTTAACTCTGCCGCTCATGTTACACCATCTGTCATGTCTTCTAAATCCACATCCAGATCAAGTCCCGGAAGACTCAAGGGGGCCAGGCAAAAAGTGTGACTTGTGAGGTGGTACCGTACACGTCAAAGGGATTACAAGATTTCACTAATTTATATTTACTGAAACCCAAGGTGTATGTTTAGGGATGTTTCTTAAGAGGGTTATGTTAAGATGGAAGGAATACAATCTTGAATTAGGCTAAATGTTTTCGACATGGCTTCACTAGGTAGAGATTCTGGAAAGTGTTAGTTCACGTGGCTGGAAGTAATTCTAACAATTTATCTGAAAACTGGACCCAATGGTGGCCCACAATGAATGAAGTTGAGATGCTAAAACTTCCTTGCTATAATGACCTATAGAGGAAAGTATATACATGTTAAGGGAGATTGGTTTTAATATGATAGATGCGTTCACCCACCTGTCCCATATGTCCCCTAAGTGTATCTAGAGGGCACTCCCTTCACCAAGGCTTTGAAAAATTCATTGTTGAAGGCAGCATTGGAATCCTTAAAGAACTCTCAAGTGGCCATTCTCTAAGTGTCAGGAATGACACTGGGAAATGCTGCCACTGAACTGGGCTTCCTGAATTTAATGAGAATATGGAATCTCTTAAGGGCAGAAACCAAATGGCTGCATTCCACTGCCAAAGACCAGGAGAGCATGGTTACCATAAAGGGCACAGAGTCAAAAGGGTAAAGGGAATGGCTTGACCTGCAAAGATTTTTAGTATTGCTTAATTGATCGTGGAGTCCTAGGACTGAAATAAATATGCATTCTACTAAAGTCTTGTATTTGTATAAGCTTAGTTTCTAGTCTTAGTGAACAGAAGTCTGATTTGACTCACTACGGCAGGGAATTACATTCCTAGATCAAACTCCATGTGAGAATAGGTTCACAGATGCAGAACTCCTTGCATGAAGGGGAGGCTAGATCCCTATGAGGAAAGATCTTGCTGTACTGTCCAAACCCATATTGTTAATCTACCTTCTAGTCTTTCCTGATGGGAAATGTTTATTAGACAAAGGAAAATACTCTTTTTTATGATTACTGGATTACTGACTCTAAACTAATTCCTGGTGACTCTAAGTTTCCACTGCAGTCCCACAGTCAGAGCAAAAGCTTATGGAGGTCAGATCATTTGATCAAGCTTTGGCCTAAATCTGTCTTATAGTGGACCCAAGACCCCTGGATCCACCCTATAGTAATTTCCCTAATTCTGGAAGGTCTATTTGAAATAGACATACTCAAAAGACTTTGGGTGGCGAACACAATATAGTATATAGATGTTGTATTATAAAGTTGTACACCTGAAATTTATATAATGTTATTAACCAATGTTATCCCAACAAATTTAATGTGAAAAACAAAACAAAACAGAAAATAGCAAAAACCCTTCTTCCCCTTTTTGGTTCCATGATCTGTGGAATGAGGGCTTTTATGCGGTAATCTCAATGGAAGCCACCAGATGATACCTGTGCATGCAGAGAATTGTATTACAGGTGAGGGACTCCAGTTTAGGGAATGTGAAACTTTTATAATGAGAAATAAACACATCTGCCCTTTGCTCCAAAGAGAGACACTAACTTTATCTTCCAAGGCTGTTCACTACACAAACATCCCTTAGAAGATATTCCAGAACAAAAGCAGACAGTGCCAAGACTTGGGAAAATATGAGAGACCTATGAAGAATTGCCTCCCAACAGGAAATTTCACATATTTTATTGAAAAAAAATCTAAGAAATCATGTGAATCATGTACAATATTTTCTCACATGAAAAAATTTAAGCTGGCTTTTTTTTTTAACGTTTCACAGAATTGTAAAACGTTTTAATTTTAAAAAAGAAAAAACACAATGAAACTACCACAGTATCATCAGCTTTTTGTTTTTCCTTGTTTCTAGGGAAAAGGCTGAAAACTATTTAGTAAATTTTCTCATCATGATTTGTGAGGCTACGTACTATATTCTTTTAAAATCTGCTAAAAAGATACAAGGAAATGGATGGATCAATGCTTTCTTGGTTCAAAATATTTAAAAAAGCTAAAATCTAATGACAACATGTTAAAATAATACACATTTTTGTAGGATGTTACCATTTTCATAACGGTTTCTCTACACTCTATAGACAGTGCAATGGTGATTCAGTGTAAATCGTTAATTACAGTGTTTCATTGTTACAATACTTGTGTTCAAGTACATGTTCATGAACATGATCAAAGTCTCTATTTGGACTTTTTCTTTTCCATTATTAAAATAAGGTTATAATTACAGTAGAATTTTTCCTATAGATGTCTCTAAATCTGAACCAAATTCATAATACATTCTCTAAAAACCTGTTCAGCACGATGAGATTTGTTATGTGTACACACCTCCTTCAGAGAACAGAAACTGGGCGAATTCTGCATCGGGATACCAAAACACAAGTGATTTCTCCCTGTGGAGAGCTAAACTATTACGCTAAATTAGTATACATTCTGCATAACTCAATGGTATTGTTGGGGAGAGAGTAGCACCTTAGAGACAGCTCTAACTTAAAAAAAATTTTTTTAAGCCTAATAATCTTAGGGTTGGTTTTTTTTTTTTTCTTTTTTTCCTTTCCTTTTCATTCTGGTAACTGGATCCAACTTATTCATATAAAATTACTTATGAAGCCCTATAGTATAAATCACAATGTTTGTATTACCAAAACAAACACCATATTGGATGTTTGGTAGGCCCCCAAATAAATTAATTTGATTAAATTATATGTAATCTGATAATATTTGGTCTGAAAAACATGCTAGTGTGTGTGTTTATAAATAATGTAATTGCAAAGAGCTGTGAGCCAGCCAGCCTGCTGGAGGTCAACTCTTTTGCTGCAGCTTTTGGGCATAGAAGTCCCTGCACGTCTCACAGCAGCGCTGATACCACCGCATGTCCTGGCACAGGTTCTTCTCGCGTATCACTCGGCAGTACACGGGCCACTGATCCCCCAGGCACTTGAAAGTCAGAGCAGCTGTGAAGCAGAACACAGGGAACTCAATACACGTGGATATCCCGGTGGCAGGAGCAGAGGCAAAGAGCAATCATGTAAGTGGGGATTTTGCACACTTACTTTCACTAATTTATATTACCTCTGGAACTTAAAACACAGAGATACACACACACGCACCTTGATATAAAAGAGTACAGGGAATAAATAATGTTCTCACACATTAAAGTAGATATCCCAAATTCAATGAGTTGTCCTGCAAATGACTCTTAAGGTTCAATTTTATGGCTTTCATTTAATTTTCTTCCAGATTTTTAGTTGAAAAGAATTAAAAAGACAAATAAATGTGCTCAATATATCTACCTTTATGGGAATGAAAAATATTAAGTATTGTTATGGATGAATTTGCAAAAAAAAAAAAGAGCAAAACAAAAATATGCTCACATTTTTTTTTCTTTCCTCTTTTTTATATTTTAATTACAATTTACATTCAATATTATTCTGTATTAGTTTCAGATATAGAGCAAAGTGGTTAGAAAATAATGTACTTTACAGAGTGGTCCCCCCTGTTTCAAGTACCCAGCTGGCCCTATAGTTATCACGATATTATTGACTATATTCCCATGCTGTAGTTTACATTCTGTAACTACCAATTTGCACTGCTTAATCCCTTTAACTTTTCCACCCAGCCCCCCAAATCCCCTCCCGTCTGACAGCTGTCAGTCTATTCTCCATCTACGAGTCTGTTTCTGTTTTGTCTCTTTGTTCAAACACATCCAAGTGGGATAGCTGGGGATAATGATTGAATGTACCTTTAAAATCAAAGCTGTTTACAATGTAACTGAAATTTATAGCATTAAAGTATTTGAAATGAGAACTTGATATGAAAAAATTGGTTGTGTAAATTTGGTATCAGGTTTTCTGAAGAAATAGTATGTCTGGCATGCGTATTAAAAGTCAATCCTGCTACAATTCTTTCTTTTGCCACTATTTTAATATGATTTATTATTTTACACTTAAAAACCTTAGATTTCCCAATCACTGTGCTTCTGTGTTTGGAGGTACACCTTCAAAAAATAATAAACAAAACAATGCAATTTTAATTAAATTCTTTTAATTCATGATTTTCTGCCACCTCCTTCAAGCAGAACCCCAAGTAATTGCTGGAGAAAGGGATTATGTTGTTTCTGAATACATGGGTTTAGCTGCATTTGCTCAAGGGTTGCTTAACTTTTTGTTTTAACAAGTCTTAATTCTACTTGAACTGATTATTTCTTAGAAATGTTAATTATTTGGCTCAAAAAAAAAAGAATTTTTGTAATTCCATGACGAACAAAACCTTTTCCATTTGACTGAACTTTATGCCTGGAAAAGTATCTATGACAATTTGTGATTAAATTGTTCCCCTAAAGCTGATGTACACTGATCAAAACTGAAGGTGTTAAACATAGATTAACCCAACAACGGCCAGGAAGCAGTAAAAGCCACTGATTGCCACAGACATAAAGGCTAATTTGTTCACGAGTATTTGTTATGCAAGTGCAGACTATATTTACTTAAAATACACACTCTACTTCTTCAGGATGGATTAGATCAAACCACGGGAACTGAGAATCCACATGAAAGCACTTTACAACATAAAAGTCTATGTAAATCAATGTGACTAGTAGTTATTTGTATTTAATACTATGTCCTTAAGTATGAAAAAATGGTACCTCTTGTTTGGTGGTGTAGATCATGCACCCATTCGTCTTGAAAGCCATTTATTACTCTAAGTCTCTCCAAAGGATAATTGTACCCAGGATCACAAGGAAGGTTGCTAATAGCAGAGAGATCTAAGGTACATACTACAACCTACCTTTCAACTAGGCAGTACCTTAATTGATAGTTTTGCCATGAGACTGTCAGAACCCAAAACGTGGTTATAGCCTTCAACCCTTTACATGATGACCCTGGGCGGTGTGACATTCGTATTTCCAGGGTCTGGCTCTGAATAGACAGCTTCAGGAGTCAAAATAGTTTAGTCTTTAGGATTTTTTACCCACCTGACCATTCAGACTAAACCACAGTTAAATAGAGTCAATTTAGCTAGGACCAAACTAATTAGTATACATTTATTACTAAGCTTGAAAGTGATATGCAACATAGAGGAAGCCATGAGTATTTCCATATTTCTCAAAACCATCCCCTTTTATGGTCTGCTTACCCAGCCTGGGTGATGTTATGGTATTTACATTAATCTTCTCGTTGCAAGGCTGAAGGTGGCACGGTCTGTACGCTGCAGGCTTTTCTGAAGAAAAACATTCATTTCCATGTCTCCCTGTGATCTTATGCATGCACTGGATAACCCGGGACTGCATTCCTTTGCCACAGGTAATTGAGCACTAGGAGAGATACAGAAGGCTTGTTAAAAGTCCTTTTTGCTGTTTCTCTTTTCTAGGCTGTGAGCCACCTTCTCCCTCTATTTCTTAAAATTGAACATGAGCCACAACATCCAGAGTTGATGCAAAACATGGGTTAGAAAGGGCGATGCTCAGACTTGGGTCCAGTGTTCTGTGCCCCCTGGCTGACCTCAGGCAGAGCTTGGGGCAATGCAGGACACAGGCGAGTCCAGACGGACACTGAAAGCCCCAGAGTATCCGTCAGGGTGGAACAGAATGACTAACATCAGACATGCACTTGGGCAGACAGTTTTTAAAGTTCTATCAAGTTTGCAACAAAACCTTGATTTGCTATTTTTTAATTTAGTCATTGATCTCCAGAGTTAGCAGACGCCCGGCCGCGCAGCCGGATGCCTCTTGCAGCCCCGCAGTCTCCTCTGCTCCCTTTGCCCTGGCCTTGAAACGTTTATCAGGAGTCTCAGCACGGCTTAGCAACCTGGCCTTACAGAAACAGCTGCTCTTCCTCGGCAGGTGACACAACATCCAGTATTGTGCTAACAAAAATATTTGATAATCTGGATTTTTCTAATAAAATAGCCTTTTAATGGGTTCCTTATATTTCATAAATGTAGTTTGTCTTCATTTTGTAAGATATTTTGCAAAGAAAAACATATTTGATGTACAATGGCCTTTTATTAGAGAAGTCTCTTGGGTCCCCATGTATCACCAGATTTAATCTGTTACACAAATAAGCTGGTGCCTCTTTGACTGAGACAATAAAATGATTTTATGGTATCACAATTAATGTGAGAGAAGGAATATGCTTGGGTTTCTGAAAATAATGACTTATTTTACCAGTCATATTATTTTCTATATGATATTTACCCATATTGATCTTAGCCAAATGATCTTAGTGTATTCTAATTGAAAATTGGTAAATACTGTCTGATTGTCACCTTTTAGATATACAGGCATACAGTTTTAATGTACTTTTTCCCACTGTGTTTTACCAAGTCATGATTAGGACCGCACTTTCTCTGCTATCAGTTCTTCCTTTACATTATCACGGGTCCCAGCTCTTCTTTTCATTTGCGCAAGAAGCATTCTACACAAACCCTTTTCACCTCAAGCCTAGTCTACTAATGTTCACTTTGTCTTTAGTCTTCCAATCAGTCCCACTTAATAACACTGAATATGTATTCTCCCAAGATTGCTTTACATATATAATCTCCTTGGACAAAAATCTTTGGTCACTGAGTCATTGCCTACAAGATAAAGCCTGGTATCCCAGAGTCTCCCAGCTGGTGTTTATGTACCTCCTCAACCCTATTTTCCACCCTTCACTTTAGGAATTATTTGCTCTTTTATAGACTAATCATGCCCATACAATTTCTATTCCCACATCTACAATTGTGTTCATAGTATTATTCCTTTCCAAATGCCTGCTGCTTTTTCAAATCACAGTCTCAAATCCACTGCCTCCATTAAGTGTTCCACAATTATCCCAATTACTTATGCATATTTATAGTTTAAAACTATATATCCATATACCTAAGGCTATCCCTTAGAATCACTTGGAGATTTTTTTGAAAAGTTATAGAGTTTAAGGCCTAGAATTTCTAAGTTAGTTGAGTCTACTCTGTAGCCCGAGTCTGGAAACTTCTGGTCAATAGTATGTGTTCTGTATTTAACATACTTCAATTTGTATCATTTTTTTCATACGTTTTTATTGATTTCAGAGAGAAGAAGGGAGAGAGATATAGAAAANCCACTGCCTCCATTAAGTGTTCCACAATTATCCCAATTACTTATGCATATTTATAGTTTAAAACTATATATCCATATACCTAAGGCTATCCCTTAGAATCACTTGGAGATTTTTTTGAAAAGTTATAGAGTTTAAGGCCTAGAATTTCTAAGTTAGTTGAGTCTACTCTGTAGCCCGAGTCTGGAAACTTCTGGTCAATAGTATGTGTTCTGTATTTAACATACTTCAATTTGTATCATTTTTTTCATACGTTTTTATTGATTTCAGAGAGAAGAAGGGAGAGAGATATACAAAAATCAATGATGACAGTCATTGATCGGCTGCCTCCTGCACACCCCCTACTGGGGATCGAGCCTGCAACCCAGGCATGTGCCCTGAGCAGGAATCGAACCCTGACTCCTTGGTTAATGGGTTGGTGCTCAACCACTGAGCCGCGCCAGCTGGGCCCTTTTTTATTTCTGATTAATATATTCTAATACATCTAGTTTCTTTCTTCTAGTAGATAGTAAGTCTCTTGAAATTAGACTCACTTTATGCCACCTTCAGGAATAAACTTACATGTCAGGTATGAAGGTAGCTTACTAAGAATAATGGAATTTTATGTGCATGCCATTACATGCACTGCATTACATACTTTAACCTACTTTATAGATCATTGATCTTTCAAAAATTTATTCTGCAAATATTTCTGCATAATATTCTCTCTGTATCTAATGAATTCTTAGCTTTTTGGAGATAATAAATTAAAGAAAGACAACTAGAATGTTACATCGCCTTAAATCTGATTTTTTCTTGTTAACCTCTACAGGACCTGAATGTTTCCAGTTCAGTTTAAGCTTTATTATAACTAAAAACTATTATAAGAGTAACTGTTTGACATGGTCTTTCTTCCTTGAAAGCATCTTAATACCACTCTATAAAATGGATACAATTACATAAATGAAGACATGCTTCTTAGAAAAATATTTTCAAGAAAATTCAAAATAAACTAAAAACTTTTAAGGGGTTAATATGAAAAAAATATCGTTCTAGTATCTATTCCTATAATTTAAGTATATCTTGAAATATTTGAGAAACAAACAAATAAACAAAAAGCCACAAAAAACAACACAGAAGCTTTATAATAGATGAACTCATTCTAATCAGTAGAGAAGGTTTGCAATTATGTCACTGAAACCCAGGAATTAGTCACAGACCATTCCTGAAACTTTTGATTAATTTTGTCAACCCCATAGGACATGAAAAAACCAAAGTAACATATCATTTTTTAGAATTATAAAAAATTCAATAAAGTAACTATAGACATATTACAACTCAGAATAGATAATTTTAGCAGATAATGGCTGAATAGTGTCTTTCATAAAAATCTGAAAAACTTCAGAGAAAAAAAATGTTAGTTGCATTCCTTTTGCAAATTAAATTTTGCAACTTGTATATGGGAATATCCAAGAAATAAAGTTCTAGAATTTTTTTTAACTAAAACAGACTAATTTTGCCTTTGAAAGATATAAGTTTTAGTATAAAATATGGAGTGAAATAGCCTACGAGCTTTAGAATCTAATTCTCATTATAATACTTTAATAATAAAATATCAAGCTCTTACTACTAATTATTTTTTTATAAAATATATTTTGGTGAAAATGTTATTATAAATGTGTGAAAAATGAACAGATATTTGAAATGGAACCACTGAAATCCCAAGGTATCTTCTAAACTAGTTCTTACTTTATTATAGAAGATACTGTGAAATAACTGAATATTTTCTGAAATCATATTACTATGATTAAAGATAGGCATTAAAAGAAAAAGCCAAAAGAATTCTGGCCTTGAAATGAGGAAACCCGGGCTCTAATATTGTTTCTAGCATCTAATATGCCTGGGACTCATTTTTTCTTTTTGGTAAGCAAGACATTGAAGGAGATTATAGCTATAATTTCAGGCCTAAATTACTATGAAAGTACGAATTCCAAATATCTTATTATTAAAAGTTACTGTAGTCTGGCAATTTTTAAGTGGTGAAGCCGTGTAACATTAAAGACTCGAATTTCATTATCTGACTATTCGCTGCACCACCCAACAATGGTATGACAGAAATTCTGTTAAATGAAGCCTCAAAATACAATTTTCTTGACCATCTCAGAATATCCAATCATTTATCGGTTTTCCAAATATTGATTCATCACTCATTATTATCAGGATCCCGTGCAGAAAACAAAAACAGCATAAATTATTAATACTGTGGAGCTGGTACTTTATTCAATAAAGTTTATTACAAAACACAATGATATAAAATAGCACTATAGGCTTCCGCTAAAGGCCCAAATGCTAAAATGTCAACATCAATTTGCCAGCAACTGGAAAACAAACACAGTGTTACCAAGTAACTTGCCAATGATCTTTCTTTTACGAAGAAAATTTCCTGACAAGAGTATTTTTTAAAAAGAGAATTGTATTGCCTGACAAATAGTCTATTCCCCAAACAGTTTACTATCTATCGCCTTAAAGGACCTTGAAACAAAACATCCCATGAATCAATTTCGTGAACTAGAAGCCTTTCATTCTGAACAGCAAGCACAAGCTTGATGTCCCAGCTCTACTGGAGTAAAAAGGAAACAGTGATCTTTAGAACAAACTTAGGGCAGCTTAGAAAATTGCTCACATGATTTTGGAGTGAAAAACAGTATTCTGATAGAGACAACACAGCACAAGGAAAACTGATGTTGGCCATCCATTTCTTTCCCACCAAAACATGAGCCCCACCTGGCCAGTGTGGCTCAGGGGTTGAGCGTCGACCTAGGATCCAGGCGGTCGGGGTTCAATTCCCGGTCAGGGCACATGCCCGGGTTGCGGGCTCGATCCCCAGTGGGGGGCGTGCAGGAGGCAGCCGATCAATGACTCTCTCATCACTGATGCTTCTATCTCTCTCTCCCTCTCCCTTCTTCTCTCTGAAATCAATAAGGACATATTTTTAAAAAAATTAGCCCCGACATCTTTGAAAATGAAGTTTTACTGACTTAGCAATATTCCTTGTTTCAATCTACCTGAGAAAATCTGACCTTCCCTGCACTTGGGTACACATGACTAATATTTTTAGATAATATTGCTATGGATTTCTCTTAGAATAACTCCTTCCTTGACATGGGACACTCGAGACAATTTCTAAGACTGTGTTAAGTGATGTCTATACTACAGCTTGCATGTCAAACATTAAATGTAATAAGAGAAACTTTCTCAA